GGGACCTCTGTAAGTTGTCTGGACTGTGATTCTGTATGGAAATCTAGCAGGGAGATTTGTTTTCTGGAGGTGTCTTTGGAGTGTAAGTCACTGTAAATATCAATAACAATATTCAGTGTTACACAGGATTAGTTTTCCCATAGTACAGAGGGGTTACTGTTTCCAAAGATTTCATTTTTGTTCTGTCTGTTAGCAACTTACTGTTAGCAATGTCATCCTCCCATTAAAAAACAAAAGAACTAGTTTTAAAATTGCATTGCAAAATGCTTTATTTAACTCCTTAGGTTATAATTTCTGTACAGATAATATTAAATCCACATAGTTCAGAGGCTAAATGTAAAAAGGATCAATTTAGTTTTTATAACTCTTTTTAGTGATTTCCAGCAAATTGCCTGAGTCAATAGAAAAGATCATGTGGTTTTGGACCACAAAAATATTACCTGTTGGATTCTACTGTGCCTTCTCTGTACGTACATTCCAAGTGGTTCTGACTTGGATAGAGTCTCTCCAGACTCACATCAAAGAGTTGAGTTTTGCTGTTGCTGCTTTCTGTTGAACAGTGATGCTTTGTTGGTAAGAATAAATAGAACTAGCAACGTATTTTAACGAACTTTGGTGTCCTCTTCATGCAAGCTACTATTTCAATAGATCTTGCCTCCCTGTGGAAGAAGGGATTATATTTAAAATAAAAATGTCCATAAATGAGGAGTTCTAAAAAGTGTATATATTTAATAGCTAAATATACTTTTATCTTATGTAAGATATTTCTATATCCTAGCAAAATTCCTGTATCCTAGGAAAATAGATACAGAGATATGATAAAGCATAGGTGATTCGGAAAATTTGAATTAAAATCAGAACTCACCAAAGTAAATAAGGAAGACTTGTGAGAGTGTGCATGTTTTTTATTTCTGTAGCAGATAAACTTTTCTAACTGCTGATTATACAGGATGAACTGAATATTAGTAAAATAATGTTTAACAAATACAAAAAGAAAATTTGAAATTGATTAAAATGTATTTAAAATAAAATATAAATATCTTGCCATTAGACTAAATCACATTACAGTTGAGAATATTTCATAGCTTCCTTGTAACATCTGAAACACTTTTAAAATAAAGAACATTCTTTTACTTGGTACAAACTTAGTGTTTGGGGTTTTTTGTTGTTTGTTTTTCTTTTTAGATGAATCACTTGGTAACACCAGTCGTAGGATTTATAGAGGATACATTCCAGGCCACTCCTAATCCAGATGAAGTGAGTGATGTTTTTGTCGTGCCACTGGAGTACTTTGTCAAGCCCTTAAATTACAAGACCTTGCCTTACAAAACCTCCTCTGGTTACTTCAGTCGGATGCACTGCTTCACCTATGATGACCATGAACATAAAACGTCCTTCAGGATATGGGGACTGACTGCACACTTTGCTCTATTTCTTGCTCTTGTAATTTTTGGAAAGAGACCTACCTTTGAAGTTGATTATGATCTTGACAACTTACTTTCATCCTCTGAGAATAACTTCATGAATTTATATGCATCCTTGTATGAAAGAAAGAAGAGTAATCTATGACAAGCTGGTCTGGCAATTAATTTATAGTGAAGGACGACAAAGGTTTTTGTTTATTCCTTTTGTAACTATTATTTGTTTGAATTTCACACTTGAATTTCTTCTGAATTGAGAACTTATTAAAATTTATTTTTAAATAATATTTTTAAGTTGATAAGCCCTAACTAGATTAATATAATTTTTAATCTGTTTTAGAGTTGCCAAAAGCACATGGTACTTTTGATGGACTTAATATACAGTTTTGGAAGATCTATTTCAGTTTCTGCCTTTGTTTTGTGTCATCTAAGACCCTTTCTGTGGTTTGCCTTCTGTATAATAAGATAATAGTATTTTATCTAATTTTTGTCTGTTTGAATTAGAATATGGACACTTTTGGGGGTCTGTCTGTCTCTGACCATATGGCATACTACATCCGGACAACATAACGCATACAGTCTTGTGTAGTATCTTTAAGCACTGATGAAATGCACAATAAAAATATAAAAGGTGGCAAGTGCCTTCACAAACTTGTTTTGTTTTGGTTGGGTTTGTGGAGGGAAGAGGGAGGTGTAGTGAGTTTTATTACTCTGGCTCAATTTAACACTCCTCACAAGGAAATTCTGTAGGTTATGGAAAACTTCCTATACAGGCAAGAGTACGGAATGTGGTTCCTCAGCATCTTGTTAGCATCACTCACTCAGCTCCTAGAGGGAGTCATCTGGGGGAAAGAAAAGTAGAGTTGAGTATTCATGAGGACTAAAATGGTTACCTGTGGTTGAACCTTTACCAGTCACCCGGGCAGTGTCAGATACATGGTGTTCTTTGTGCTGTCAATCCTTGTTTCTTCGTTGCTGCTGAACTAGAAGCTTATTCACAGTGGTTGCAATATTATTGCCAAATATTCAAGTTTTTAAAAGCACAATCAACTTAGGCTGGATTTGAGATGTAGTTTGCAAGGTAACAATTTACCAGTCCTTAAACAGCTGATCTTCTCTGGGTAACCAGTATGAGTCGAAAGCATTTGGTGTCTCTCAGAGTCACATGCCCTAGTGCTCGCCTTGAATGAGATGAAGAAAAGCTCTCAGTAGTTCTCCTGGGTGTTTGCACATTGTGCTCCCCCCTCTATCCACTAATGGATGCAAGTGTGATAAAGAAGTTGCTGCCAGTTCCTATGAACTGTGCTGTAATTGAGTAGAAGTCAGATTTTTACATTAAGCAGCTTTTGTGAGATACTTGAAGTTGGCTGTGACTGTAGCAAAATGCATCCTTTTTACAAATAAATGTTTTCCATGTATGGCTTGAATAGCTAATCATGATTTTCTAGGAAACCCAATTCTGAGATATTTTTTGAGCTTCTCATAATTGCATCCATTTTCTTTGGCTGCTGTGCATTTAGGCACTGACACAGCAGCTTGTGTTTGGCTGGTTACTGCAGCGTGACCTTTTACTGAAGAAGACGCTGGAGTTGCGCTGAGCTGACAGAAACATACGAAAACAAATGCAGGCTAAAATCAATGCAAATCTCCTTTCAGGGACTGAGTTTCCCTTTGCCTCCTCTCCCTGCCACAACTGTGCAGTACTTACTATTTGTCTCTTCCCAGAGATAATTCAGTGGGAAGTACTCTACTACAGTATTCTGCCTGAAATACTGTTATGCTGGGGCATTAAAGAAGTACAAGATGGGTTGGAAAAGGCCTCAGGAATTAGCTTAATCTCTTCCCTCCTAAAGATGGAATCTGATACATGATATTCTGATAAATACCTATTTTTTTTTTCCTAACCTTCCCTGGACAATCCATGGTAGTCCTTTAGCCAGGCTTACAAAGTCTTTAGTTGTGGTAAGGAACGCTTCTTGTCCTGTACACAGCAGAATGGCGAATAGCTCGTTTCTTTAGTTATGTTCTGCGCTCCTGAAAACTGTATCACTGGGTCTTCCTAAGGCATCGTTAGATTTAATCATAGAATCATAGAATGGTTTGGATTGGAAGGGACCTTAAAGATCATCCAGTTCCAACCCCCCTCCCATCAGCAGGGACACCTTCCACTAGACCAGGTTGCTCAAAGCCTCATCCAACCTGGCCTTAAACACTTCCAGGGAGGGGGCATCTACAACTTCCTTGGGCAACCTGTTCCAGTGTCTGACCACCCTCACAGTGAAAAACTTCTTCGTAATATCTAATCTAAACCTCCCCTCTTTCAGTTTAAACCCATTTCCCCTTGTCTTGTCATTAATTGCCCTTATGAAAAGTCCTTCCCCAGCTTTCTTGTAGGCCCCCTTCAGGTATTGGAAGACCGCTATAAGATCCCCCCGGAGCCTTCTCTTCTCCAGGCTGAACAGCCCCAACTCTTTCAGCCTGTCTTCATAGGAGAGGTGCTCCAGCCCTCGGATCATCAATTCCATTAATGATAAGATTCCTTCAGGTTTTTTTCACCAGTTACATTTTCTATGCATTTCTTGCCATTTTTGTTGCTTTCCAGAATCTTCAGTGAACCTTACTCCCCCATTTCCCCCCAACATCAAATATGTGATAATCAAACCTGGTCATAGTATTCTAGTTAACCACTTATTTGGGTTGGATGGGACAGGATTACTTCACAGCTCTTTTTATGTATCCCATTGTGATTGCTGTTTGTGAAGCCGCATGGTAATATTGACTCATATTCCACTTCTTCCACTAAAGTCACCTCATTGTTTTCTGAAAATGCTGCCAGTTGTTCCTATATTTGTATTTACTGCATTCTGTATTTGAACAGTTGATTATTCCCACCAGCTGTAGCACTTTGCATTTGTCCTTACTGAATTACATCTTGATTTTTTTTCAAAACAAATTGTAATGAACTACTACCGTGTTTTTCAGATATTTCCATGTTGCTGTTATCCTGAAGTTTATTGAATATATTTTGTGTTTCATTTACAGCTTAGAGTAAGCACACTCAGAACAGGCCTCTGCAGAATCCCAACTGGTAACTGCCACTTTGACAAGGATCTACCAACTACTGTGTGTGGTTTTCTAACCAGCTGTGTAACACACTTCTATTAGTTTCACACAGACCAACCCGTATGAGGTTGCACACAGGAACACTAGGCAGGGCTGTATCTGAAACCTGAGGATTTATAGTTCTCCCTGAACACCAAGCCTGTTGCCTGCCCCACAGAGGGAATAAACACATTTGTCAGAAACAGTTCATAGGAAAAAGACAACAGTTGCTGTGTATGTCCTTGTTAATTAAAGTACTTATGTAAATGTTATTTGTTCTGGTATTTTCCCAGGAATTGGAACAATTTGTATGAGTTCTCCAGTTCTTTCATTGGGCACTGTTTACTTTTTCCCCAGCCTCTGTCAGGGAAGAAGATAAAGTTCCCCAAGTTACAAAGATAATTGCTAATAATGTTGAGATTGGTTCTTAAGAGAATGGCTGTCGCATGGGGATGTTTCAGAGGGTTCGGCCAGCTCGAACATTTTAGCACATCTAAATACTATCAAACCTTTCATATTCCTGCATTAGCTCTTTTGGCACCCGTGTTAACTAGATTTGATATTGGTTGACTTTTTAAGTTAAAAGAAATAACAGCTATATTTTTCATTATTAAACATTTGTGAAATTGTTAAAACATTTTCAGAAGCTTAACTTTAAACTTTTCATCATATTATTCATATCCTCAGTGGTTTCTCCCAATGCTAATGTATGCAGGAAAAGTAACTAATTAAAATAAGAACATTGTTAATTAAAATAGAGCAAAGCAATTAGACCTTTGATTAGTAAACAAAACAGGTACCAAGAGACATAATTACTAACTTTCCATCCTCCTCAGTTCCCAGAAGACTTTTTTTTTTCATCTCTCAACCAGATCTGGCACAGAAGTCGTACACATTGTACAAATTCAAACCTCAGTTTGTTTTTATTTCTCCTTTTTTAAACATTATTGTATGGAACCGTAAGGACAACAACAACAGTTACAGCTGTTGTTCCTTTTAGCAAATGCAAATCTTGCTGATTTTTGAATGAAATAAACCACTTGAACTAGTTGAAAAATGAAACTTAAGAGAGGTCCAACCAAAAACCCTTGAGTGATTTGCAGTAAAACCACTGGGGCTTCATCCTTCACATTATGCATCCTACGTAATTTTGCTGACATTAGTTTTGAAATTAGGGAAGAACTTTCTAAACTCAAAAAGACTCATACTTTATTTACATATCCATCTGGGATTTGAGTGCCCAAAAAACTCCTTTGAGCACAAAAAGAACAGAAGGAAATCTAAGTGCTTGTTACTGAAACTGCAGTTCTGCAAGTCCCACATTTAGTAATGGGAAATAGTTTTCTTGGGCAACCTTCAGATAAAATTAATCCACAATTCTTGAGGCAGAAACTAGAAGATGACTCCCTCCAACCTAGGCAGCCCTCCTAACCAATCCATGTCATGTGCTTAGTCTCTTTCCTACCTTCAAGAGGTAAGGAGTGGGGAGTGTCCCAAGCAGAGTATCATGAAGTCTGGCAATAAAGGCATTTTTCAAGATACTACCTCTGAAGTATGAGGGAGCTGACAGTCTGTATCCCTCACTCCTCCTGGGTAAGTGCCCTGTGTAGACAATTCGCTCTCCCTTGTGTTATATACAAAAGTTTCAGCATCGAAAAGGTCCCTGGTTTTTGTTCACTGGTGCTTTGCAGTTTGACACTGCAATGCTCTAGTGCCTCAGTTCCTTTCCAGATCTCTACAATCACATAACAAACACTTACCAAGACCTGGGTGTCCCAGTGTTTGCTCTTACTGGTCCTGTGCTATACCTGAATATTATTAAAATAGATTTTTATCTACTTTTATTTTGAATCTGGTGATTTTAAAGGACTCCTTTACTATGAATTATGGATTTCAAATGCATTTATGCCTTGTTTGTTTAAGTATGGCATGTTCATATAGCTTCCAATCTGAAAAGGTATTTTATACAAATACATTTACTCTCTGCAGTTTTTCTTACAAACAAATCACCAAAGCCATTGCTTAGTTGGAAAAAAGGTATTAAAAATATATTCCAGA